AAATAAATAAAGGTCTATGAAGTAATGTGTCTGACAGAGAATTCAGAGGCATCAGAAGTCCACTTGTAATTGGCCTGGAGGCTAAAGACTGTACATTAAGAGGCTTCTTTGAGCTCTCTTCCAGCTTTCACATTTTCAGGTCCAAGATACAGACACAGACCCGAGGCAGTAACAACGTGATTATGCCTGTTACCTGGATATAGTGTTCACTCAGAGCTTCTGTGGGTTAAATCAGTTTTTTCTTTGCTTACTTAAGGTGATTTTCTTTCTTTTAATTACCCATAGCCTTGATGGGATGGAGAAATTGTATAATTAATTACTCCTGCTACTTTGCCAAGTCCCTAGTCACTGAACACGTTATATTCAGTGGCTATATTGTGTTATCTCCCGACTTTCAGGGGTCGACCCAAGATTTTCTATTTTTCATTGTCTGTAGCTTGTCCTGTTGGATCTTTTCGATGTTCCTCCGGTTTGTGTATCCCTCAGACTCAGCGCTGTGATGGGGTGAATGATTGTTTTGATGAAAGCGATGAACTGTTCTGTGGTGGGTATTGAAGCTTTTACTACTGTCCTTCTTATGAATAAGTAACTTCTCAGGGCCATTGATTTATAGCTATAGTTTTTGTAACTATTTTCTATTGCTGCATTACGAACTGCCCCAACACTGGGCTGAGCTGGGCTGGGTGCCTGAGCTGGGATGGGTTTGGTGGAGTGGCTCTGCTTCAAGCACTGGTTTTCCCTGAGCTTGGATATTCACAGCTTGGATCTGATCTACTCTTTATGGTTCTTTCCCGTACTGACCTAGGGGACCAGTGGCTGGCAGTGACACGAGCAGGGGAGGAGTGACAGAAGCACATGTTTTTTTCTAAAGCCTGGGTTTGGAACTAATACGCCATCACTTACACTGTATTCCATTGTGCAAAGCAAGTCACACAGCTCAGCTCAAAGTCAAGGAGCAGGGAAGTTTACCCTGCCCACACTGGGGTCATGCTGAAGATGAGGGACATCAATATGACCACAGGGAGTGGAGATTTGTGGCTAATAATCCAGTCTATCAGAATCTTAAAGCACAACAATCCTATTCAAAAGCATACATCATTCACTTAGAGAGAAACTATCAGTAAAGAATTCAGCATGCTTGTGTATGGAGCACAGGCGCTATTTGTCAGTATTTGTTTGTTTTTAAGCTGCAGAGTCTGCCCTGACACCACATTGGTAATGACCAAAGGATGAGCACTGGATAGAGAATCTCTGTCTCGGTTGACTGTTACTATTTGTACCTTGTTTAGTCTTCCTTCCATTTATGGGAGTAACATAGGGAATATAATTCACTGGACAATGTGACACTCTTGTCAATATTTTTGGCTAAAAGTCCAGAGTATTTTATCTTATTTTTTTATTTTTTATTTTTCTTTTTTGAGACAGGTCTCGCTATGCTGTTCAGGCTGGCCTTGAGCTCACTTTGTAGCCCAGGCTGGTCTCCAACTCACAACGATTCTCCTGCCTCAGCCTACCAAGTGCTGGGATTACAGGCAAGCACCATCATACCCGGCAGTCCAGAGTATTTTAAATAGAATTGTGATGGTGTTGCTGCTTAATATTTTTCACATCTCTGAAGAAATACTACAATTAATATACTATGACTAACCGAAGAGTTATATCCATGAAAAATAGCCTATAACTCTATACCTTTATGTATTGACTAGACAAATTCTCTTCACTGAAGGCTTCATTGTCTTCTATTTCTTAAGAAAGTAAATGCTATTCTATAGTGACTAAGGTGGTTTTTTTTTACATTTTTTTCTTTGCTCTGATGTTTCAAATATCAGATTATTATTGTCACTTTATAATGAGGAAGAGCTTTTTGAAATCATTATGTATCATTATATCATTGTTTTGGAGTTAGTCCTGAGGCCCCAGTAGGTGCTGGTGGAGACTGTCAGGGCACCAGTTACCTCCCATTGCTGCTCGGTGGGGATGCGAGTAGGTGTAAAATAAGTCAGGGGATATTTGTGAAACAAATGAGTGTGGACAATGAAACTTGATTCCTCTAAAAAAAAGAAAACCTACAAATGACTAAGAAATCATAACCTTCTGAAACATACTTGTTCGTATACTATTGCCTGTCACTTGTCTTCAGATATTAAATGCAATATTTCAAAGAAGAAAAATGTGATGGATTGACACTGGCATTTACCACTTTAGGAAATGCACCTATCAGAGTAAACTAATTTTAAGAGTTTCCTTACTCAAGAAATGTCTGTTGTCTTCTAAGATCTCATACGCATTAATTCATGCAAAAAACCTTTAGTGATAGCTACTGTTTGGTGAAGGGCTTGAAGTTCAGAGGAATAAGACAAAAATGCCTATTTTAAGGATGTTTCCACTTTCTTTAAGAGGTTAAACAAGTTTAACTTAGATGATAGCTTATGATATTTACTTTTCTTAACAGAGATTACTTATGATACATTTAACTGTAATTAAATAAACAAACCACCAGAGTTTAACAAATGTATACAGCATCAAAAATCAGATCTGACAAACCCGAGTACTAAGATTACCCTGAAGTTTAAATACCTTCTTTTCCTCATGAGAGTGTCACTTTCCAGGAGACTATAATCTTTATGTTATTTGTCATCTTAACGATTTGCACCATTAGAAAAGCACTGCTTGTCATCAGAGAGCACAGCGATGCAATGTCTCAGGCTCATGAGCTTTCTGTCTATTCTCATTCTAGCGACCATCAAACCTGCCTGCGATGTTCCCCTCTTCAGGCAGACGGGCCCTCTGGTCTGCGATGGTTTCAGGGACTGTGAGAACGGCCAGGATGAGCACAACTGCACGCAGAGTGAGGGGGCGGGGGAGCCGCAGCGCCGCGCTGCTCTTCCTTTAGAACGCTGCCAAATCATAATCCAAACACATCTGCTGGGTTAGGGTGATCATCATCTTGCCCCAGTTTCCCCCAGAACTTTTGCTACTGAAATGCCCTTGTTTTGGGAATCTCCTCTGTCTTAGACAAAGTGAGACAGCTGGTCTACCTAACTGGGGTGGAGTTTTGTGTGTGTGTGTGTGTGTGTGTGTGTGTGCACTCCTGCATGACTCCCGGTGGGTTTTCATTGCTTACTGCTTTTAGCACTGCTGAGGCTGTAGGATACTGACGACCTGATACAGAACTTGCCAGAGATACTGAGGGACAGGTATTCTAACCCCCATAGAAATGCAGACCTCCAGGTTCATGGGCAAATGTAGTATAATCTGCAGCATTTATCCATGTTTTTCTTTTCTCTAATGATTTGAAAGGATTGTATATAGTAGGGATTTTTGCTAAAAAAATATTTTTTCTAAGAGAACAAAACAAGGCGATAAAGAGAGGCCATGGCCTAAAGCCACTGGTCTGGCCAATTCCTTTGCATCTTGCCTACAGAGGCGGAAAGGAGAGGCAGTGGGATGATTCGCAAGTGATGCGCCTGCTGCCTGTCTGTCCATGGCTCTGATTGGCTGAAGGAAAAGGTCACCGTGAGGTTGCCCCATTTCTCTCTGCCAGGTTTTCCCAGAGCATCAGATAGCAATTTTGTGGCTGATCCATCCTTTGCAGAATTCAGTGTTTCTCACTCAAGTCTATTTCTGGATTTTTTAAAAAAAACTCTGCCTTTCTTATTAATTTTTAGGTATTCCGTGCACCAATAGAACTTTTAAGTGTGATAACGATATTTGCTTTAAGAAGCAGAATGCAAGATGCGATGGGATAGCAGACTGTCCCGATGGAAGTGACGAAGACAGCTGCAGTGAGTGGAGATTTGTTCCTTTGGATTCCCGTGTTCCATCTTTACCCATTTTCCACTTCTAGTCCCTTCTTGGTGTAAGTTGCCTCAGAGAAGTTGCCACTTGATAAATGCTGGTGAACCGAATCTGAACTGTTTTTCAGAAATAAAAGCTCTAGAGCTTTAGTCCATATTCTCCTTTAACCAAAGATTTTTAATGCATTAGATGCGCATAAAGAGAGCAAGGAGGGAGTTCTTAAAATACCTAGTAAGAAAACAGTGGGATTCAGTAGACAACGTTCAGTTATTCTTTATGCTATGATAACTAGTTCTGGCTCTTTCCTTAGCTAAGACCCAATAACTGTAATCTCCCATAGAGTCTTCTTAGTCTTGTGGCCTCTAAATGGCCATGTGGCAACATGTTAGTGATATATCCTTATCAATATGCAAGTGACTGTTCTGATAACTAATTTTTCTTAGTAAGTTTGTGTTTGTCTTTGTCTAAAAAATTCTTCCCCAAAGCTTTCTGTCCGATCAGCACAACTTCAAAGACATTTTCAAATTTGGTGCATTTAGAGGTTATCTCTTTCTCCCTACCTGGTAACCTAATGCCAGGTCCTATCAGTCCACCTGCTACGCAGGTCGCTCTGGGCCCACATGCGTTATTATATACAGATACCAAGAGAGGAGGACCTGCTGCCGGAAGGGAAGTGGGCTCTGCTGCCGGTTTCAGTCACACCCATAGATTCGCATTTGTCTAGATTAACAGGAGACTGCGTGTTACTTTAGTGAGTCAGTTCTTAGCCCTGCACTAAACCTGACCTAATTTCCGGTTTTCTTCCCAGTGTCCCTTTAAATCATGTCACTCTTACCCTGTTAAAGGCTGCAGCAGGAGTTCCTCAGCTCTGCACCGCATAGTTGGGGGAGCAGACTCGCTGGAGGGGGCGTGGCCATGGCAGGTCAGCCTCCACTTTGTCGGATCTGCCTACTGTGGTGCCTCGGTCATCTCCAGGGAGTGGCTTCTCTCCGCAGCCCACTGTTTCCATGGAAACAGGTAAGGATTCCCAATCTTCACGCTCAAGTGGTGAACTCTAGCTGCAGACGGTGCAGCTGGCATTGAGCTGTTGGAAGCTCTCTGATGATGACACAGTCGACTCACAGGACTTCTGTTTGTTGGCGTCATGGGAGGGGAGGGAGACAAGCTGTGTGTCAAACATTTTGAAAAAAAGGATTATTGATAAAAGAAAAATATTTGCAGCATCAAGAATGAGTAGACTTCACGGAGGAAGTAAAGTTGGAGCTTTCAAATCAGAGGGGCAAACTTGGGGGACTGTGGAGAATGTAGAGAGGGAGTACCGAGATCCCTACTGGATTAGGACCAGGGGTGTCTGGGGAAGGACCCTTAGGGCTGGTATCGGTGGAGCTCTGTCTGCCTTTGCCAGTGGTATTAAGGGATAGATGCTCTAGCTGAGAGTCAAAGGAAAGTTTAAAATTGGAACTTACTTGAAATCTATTGGATCTTAGGTACAAAAATAGTATCATTCACTTCTCATTTTGAATTCTTAAAGGGGAGTATTTCAAGGAAGTTATATAATTTGACTATTTGCTTTTCCAGGAAGTTATAAGATTCGTGTTAATTACTAAAATCACTTCTGTTTCTTAGTCTTCAATGCTGTGAAACTGCTCCAAAGAATATGTTAGCCTTAATATCCTTTTGGATCTCCAGTGCCATTCATGAAGTATTAGCTGAGCTTGGCACAAGTGCCTGCCTGGCAAGCTCAAGTTCCTGAGTTCAATTCCTGGTGCTCCCCCCTCCACACACACAAAAGAAACATTAGCTGAGCAGATCAGTGGCCACATTCTTAGAGCTTGCCGCTATTTTTTCTTCAAAACTTCCATATTCTTTCTCTCTCCATGCTTCTCCCTGGCTGCTATGCTGGTGGAGATTGAAGTCTCAGATGGAGACTAAAACTCCCTGTATGACTTATGCAAGGCTGGGGTCAATATTACAGTCTGGAAGTGCCGATCATGGGGCTGGAGTATGGTGTTCCTATGAGTGGTCATACTGGAGCATGAAGAACAGTGATCTATAAGGCTTGGTAGTTTGCAAGAAAAAATGTTATTGAATCCTGTTTTATTTATTTTTATTTTTAATTTATTTTTTGGTTTTTTTTCCAGTAATGGGAATTGAACTCACGACTTCACACTTGCCAGGCAGGCACTGTGCCCTGAGCTAAATCCTCAGCCCCTGAATCCTGTTTTAAAGTTCAGTTTTTCATCTACCTTGGTGTTCACATCATTTGAATTTGGAGCATGAGTTCTCAGCCCACCACTTAACTGGCACTGTTTCCATCAAATGCCACTATCTGCACAAATAGGAAGGATGTAACAAATCAATTCTAGTTACCCACATTTTTCTTTTTTTTTTTTTGAGACAGGGTCTCTTTATGCAGCTCATGCTCCTTGGGCTCACTTTGTAGCCCAGGCTGGCCTCAAAGTGCAATGATCCTCCTGCCTCAGCCTCCCGAGTGCTGGGATTATAGGCATGCACCATCATGCCTGGCATTATTCACATTCTTGACTTGTGTGTAGTTCATGAAATACCATCCAGAAGAAGATTTGCAAGCATTTCCTTATGATGCCATTGAGAGAATTCTCTGGAACATACTTATTCCTTGCTGCTCCTCTAACAGCTTGTGTTATCTCTGGTTTCAGCGCAAAGATGTTCAGAGGAATCATGCTTCTTGCCATGTCCCTGAGCAGAGCCAATGACTTAAAATATGACCCATAGAAATCAGCCCTTTCTTTCCTCAGCCCCGTCTCTCTGCGGAGTGCTTGATTCTGAATCACACATGGGTCTGCAAACTCCTAACGGTGTTTCTTTCCTTCCCCTTAGGCTGTCGGATCCCACTCCATGGACTGCTCACCTTGGGATGTATGTGCAGGGAAATGCCAAGTTCGTCTCCCCGGTGAGAAGGATTGTGGTCCACGAGTACTATAACAGCCAGACCTTTGACTATGACATTGCTTTGCTACAGCTCAGTATGGCCTGGCCGGAGACCCTGAAGCAGCTCATTCAGCCAATATGCATCCCCCCTGCAGGCCAGAAAGTGCGCAGTGGGGAGAAATGCTGGGTAACTGGCTGGGGGCGAAGGCATGAAGCAGGTGTGTGCACGAATTCATTGTCATACCCGCTCCCTCACACGTGATAGCAACTTGTATTTAGACAGTGCTTTGGGGTTCCCGGACAGGGTTTGTGTATATTGTCTCCTCTGGGGCTCTTGACGTCTCTGGGAGGTTAGGCTGGAGGTGGGCATTATTATTTCTCTTTTATGATCCTTTCCCCTTGATCCGAAAGAAGCGGGACCCAGCTGATACATTGAGAAAGAGAAGCATGGACTGTATAGTATGGGCTCTTTTCAAACTCTAAAGCAGAGTGCTAGGTTTTTCACTATAGAAGAACAATTCCTCTTTATTCTTCAACTCCCTTTTCATCCACAGGGGTGAGTCATTATGAAAGAGGGGACTCAGATATGCACACCCCACTGTGCTAACCCAGACAGCTGTCTGGAAGTTATGCAAGTATGGCCGGTACCCGGGCTGCTGGCCAAGGGAAGAGAGTGAGAGCTGAAATGCAACTTTCCCTGAGCTCTTCAGGCTGCAGAGTCAGCCCTGGGGGTTGCACTGGCCCAGAAATGACCCGCCCAGGGATGATGTCTTTTGCAAGTCTTCTGCCCAGAAAACAGATCTTCTTCAGTATGTGCAAAGGTCAGGCTGTATGGCTGGGAAGCTCCTCCGTCCACGCTGCCAGCTTTTCATGGTGCAGGATTTGTGTTTGGCTCTGAACATAGAGAGAGGGCAGCACCAACTTCACCAGAGTCTCCCTTAGGATCAGTCCTAACACTTTCCTTTGATTT